AGGAGCTATGTGGTGTTCCCTGCCATGCATACACCGAAGCGTAAGAGCTTGTGCGGACTATTGTCAGGTAGCACTCAAGAATCCGATATTGGTACGGCTAACTAGCGCGCTTTCATTCGCTAAACGGCAGAGCAAGCTCATCTGCTACAAACGGATAACTCGATCGTTATTTCTGTCTGGTTGAGCTGTTCCCTTTCTGCGGGCACAACAGGCGTTCCTATAGACATGTGCGGCATCTAGTCGTCACCATGACCACGTTTAAACACGCTGGTGATAATCTCGGTAAAGCCTGTTTGAATAGCATGATAGCCAGGCTAATATGAATCTAGACGTTCCATGTATCATCTAGCTTTTCGTCGCGTCAATATTTGGCTGACTGCAAGCTATCTGGCGCATGTAATGTAGCGCTTTTTACAGCACCCAAATCACTGGTGTGACACCCACTGTTGAAAGGGTAGCAAGGCATTTTCCGCTGGATCTGAACGCCAACGAACATGAAGCAGTTGTCACCATCACACTGTACAGACGGAAGCGTCGTCGAGATGCAACGATGACTCGTATCTAGATCACATCCTAACGTGAAGAGTATTTACATGACGACATATGCTGAAGCTGCATCGATGATTCCGTGTTTGTCAACACCAGTCAAATGGCTGCATGACGACTTGAAACAGAGTATGTGTACACTCTAACGAGTTTACAACGCACCAAAGCACCTTGCTTCAGTGAATAGATAGATGTTGCAATCATGTGGTCTTCTGTTAAGATGTCCGAAGCCCTACTGTCTATTGCCCAGGTCCGTATGTGTTTGCTACGGGTTATGCAGCGGAGCTACACAGCTCCTTAAGTCAGAGGATGACTAAACGCTCAACGAGCAACTTAGTTTTAAGGAACTAGACTCAATGAGTCAACACGCGTAAAGCTTATGGTTCTTGTTCCAGGGGACCAAACGATCTAGTGATCCGACAGCACGTAGTGCTCAAGAGTAACTAGCTACCTCAAGGAGGTGTTGCGAACTCTTAGTAATCAGTGATCAACGACCAAGACGTCTTGCAAGACACGTGTGTTTAATATCAAAAGGGGAACTGAATTCTATTTACATTTACACCCATAGAATATCTTAATCCTAATATTACATAATCTAGACACTCATGTCCTTTGTTAGTACAACTAAGATTTCTCCTATCTGGCGGCGAACACCGGTCAACCCCTATAAACCGATAAGATATTCTAGATCTCTTTCAGTGGGATATCATCCGTGTGTCTAAGACACAGTGTACCAGGTACCCAACTACGTGCAACCCTTTTACGGGTTAGCTCATAAAAAATGGAAAATCCCGTGAGTAGGCATCGCACAACTGCGTTTCGTATCCTTTACTGCGCACCCAGACCATGCTTCTTCGACAGCGAGAGGATGCGGTACGTGCTCCTCGCTGTTACAATACAACCTTGTCTTTTGATCCAGTTTCAACACAGATTCTTTTCACTTCCTTTCGTGCGCTTTTGTAAACTAGCACTGCGGTAAGGCTCCGCCAAGCACCGCGTGGTTAGTTTTCCACGATCGACTACTATAAGTCATCCTTGGGCATGATCTTGTCAGCAGCTCCATAGTATAAGCGTATTCTCAACTGATCACGTGTGTTTCTGCTGACCAGAGGGACAATCTATGCAGCTGACAGCATTCTAAAATCAAGCGACAATCATCCGACGCCACCGATACCAATAAAAAGATGAACAATGCGATCCGCGGGTCACAATTTAGATCCATAGCGCGAGGAGAGACAGTGCCGAAAATGAGGCGTGCAGAGTGTTCCAACGACATATCGTTCAGCTTACCTATTATCAAAGCACCCAAGCATTTCGATCAGAAGCGAGCATATGACGCGACCATGGATGCGTAGTCGCCCTCGAGGCAAGTTGGGGGAAATAAATGGTCGGCTCGATTGCAAACATAGCGACCAGCGCTGGAAGCAACGGCTTGCTGGTGAGCTCGAAACCCTACCAAACGCCGCGATCTGAGACAACCCCATGACGTGTCGTCAAGGTAGACGATGACAGCAACTTATGGAATTTGTTAAGAACTATGTCGCGCGTGATGATTATCATGTTCAGAGTTCACGCGCTCGACTCGTCATGAGCTCACACTCATCCAAAATGCAACCACTTCTCTCACTTTCGCTGCTCACGATTGACGGTTACCCAGAAAGAGAATTCAGCAAGCCAAGTCACAGGGTCGAAATTTTTGCTTCAAATCCGGATCCACAGTGACGCAATTTAAATTAATCCGATTACCACCATCCACGACTTGACCAAGAAGTTAGCTTCATATTTAGAGCAAATCTCATTATCAGGACCACAAATGTTTAAAAGTCCCAAAACCAGGACTACAGTTTAAACAAGTCTAAGATTGATTGATACTTAATGTTAGCCACATTATACTCAACTGCAACATGGGATTAAAAACTGCCTGATCACTAATGAGTCTATCCATTTTTTAGACAACTGTAGCGAGTGGTAAAAAAACGCTCTTTTTTTACCAACGTTCGTTAACTTCTCAATTTGCGCCCACGAGCCGATGTGCCCATTTTGGTTTGGGCACATTGCGTGCGAGCCAGGGCCCGGTCGCATGCACCCGACGAGCTCGTGACCGGGTGACTCAGTTATTAGACCTTGCACTGTCGATTCTGATTAAATCAGTAATTCTTTATGTACGCGGTTGCAGCAACGCCAGTTCGAAAGGCTTTACAATAGGTCAGGTCAGTGGTACCGTGATTAGTGTTAATTTCGATTGCTGCAGTCACTCGAGACATCTCAAAGACTTTTTTTTAGTTCACTTCTTGCGCTTACGCTCAAACGCTCAAACTAACCATTCAAAATAAACAGTATGAGGTAGTGAGCATTTTTTTTTGATGATTCATGCTTTAAAGACCAGTACTAATTTCTATAGCATGTATTATACTTGTCTTGATATTACGCCCTAGTCAGTCAAACAAACTCCTCGCACTGCAACATATCCACACGGACATAGCACACAATCGTTAAGCAGGACACTCGACATTACCTGAAACCGCTCTACACCGCTCTATATCACCGGACGCCACTTTAAATCACTGGACATTACTCGACATCACTTGATATCGCTCGACATCACTTGAAACGCACTGCAACACATGCATACAGACAAAGCATACGATCGTTAGACAGCAAAGTCGACATCGACAGCATAATTATCTGCTACCGCTGCTCATAAGAGTTAATACAATAACGGAGTTTACCAGTCATGAGCTCGTCGGGTGCGTGCGACCGGGCCCTGGCTCGCACGCAATGTGCCCAAACCAAAATGGGCACATCGGCTCGTGGGCGCAAATTGAGAAGTTAGCGAACGTTGGTAAAAAAGAGCGTTTTTTTACCACTCGCTACAGTTGTCTAAAAAATGGATAGACTCATTAGTGATCAGGCAGTTTCTTATCCCATATTGCAGTTGAGTATAATGTGGCTAACACTATGCTAGTTTGCATATTCAACCCAAGTATAATATAGATAAGTTTAAACTTGATTATACTATAGTCCTGGTTTTGGGACTTTTGGACATTTGTGGTCCTGATATTGAGATTTGCTCTCATATTTATCAAGGCAAACACTTTTGTACCAACCAGCCGTTGCCACCTGGCGCAGACTTTCAAGTAGATGTGTCTATCATTTACATTCATAGATTGCATTCTTGTGGCACCGAGACGTTGTATTAGGCCAATAACAAGTCTCACAAGGATGATGTTGTACCATCCTCTCTCAGTTATTTACCGGGATCCTCCACCATGAGCCACGCCGATATATCGGTACCAGAAGCGGCTACTTAATGGGTCTCCCTAAGGAATTTTATGGCTGAAGGCATTCTCTCCCGCCAACGCGAGGCGAAGAAAAATCTATCAAATACGTATCGCAAAAAGATACGACGACTATCGACGTTATGATCGCCTGAAGGACATACTTGCCGCATTGGACTCAAGAGGGCGACCTGATACTCCTCTAATTGATCATTAGGTCAGAATTCAAGAGCTAGAGAGGATAATAGCGAACACTAATCGGAACTGGCTTCGATCCAAGCAGCGACGGCTGTTTCGACAACATACCTGGCGCAGGGGACAGACTAATAAGGAACTTTTCAGCGCATATCGTGCAAGTTCTGGGATAATGTCATCCCTGTTCTTACACCGGTAGCTGGCCAAACTTTGCGCGACGAGCACAACAAGGCAAACATTCTCGCGGACGCGTGGAGCCCAATTCCTAACGGGCTGGCGGCAGGCACCCCACCGGCATCCATTACAGACTGGATGGCTTGAGGCCCCTCAGACGACCTTGACTTTCTGGATATGACTAACCTATTTACTACGACGACGGTGACAACGGCCATCAAGTCTCTTCGAACAGGAAAGGCGTTTGGGACCGATCGCCTCGGCAATGACTGGTACATCCAGTACTCCGACCATCTGATTCTGTTGCTTTTATAAATGTTCTGGATCGGGGCACCCTGAAGCTTGTACTGGTGACAGTACAAGCTACTTATTCTGATGACAGAATAAGGCGCTGCCTCGTAACTTCACGTACACTAGTACGTGCAGAGGAAGACGGTAAGAAGAAGCGAGTACTTGGTTAAAGTAAAAAGTAGAACTGTATTTATAATAGTTAATGTCTGCAATAAATCACTATTTATCTTCATCTAACTATGTCTAAATACAAATGTGTAAATCAGTTATCTGCTCACCACTCATTGCGTGCGTCTGTCGTGGCGCGTCTTCGTTGGTTGATATAATGGCCTATATCAACCAATTAGGAACTACTCGTAAGTGCTACCGAATATTCGTCCTTATGACAATATTCTGAGAATACAACTCTGATAGTTATATTCTATTAACAATTTCTTATAAATTGTTATGTAACGATTCACCCCGTTACATCACCCCCTCCTTAACCATCAGTCACGTTAGTGACTGATCGACTAAATGGATACTCGTCCCAAATCATTTGGGACGGGGTTTGCACTTGTTGGTCCGAGTCCACTTTCCAACATCTCATCGCATGGTTAACAAGCCCATGCGATGCGCGAGCCGCCGAGAGCGCGTCCACACGTCTCTGTGCGGACGCCGAAGCAGAAACCACAGCAACTGATGTCTCATCGGTTGCTGAAGCGACTCAGCCTGTGTCACTTGGTGATGCAGGCGCTGGTCATGAAGACACTCATGTCTTCACAGAGTATGAGCTCGGTGTCTCATACTCTCCTGATACGGAAGACGGATCCGTATCGAAGGCGATCGAATCCAAGCCGCCTGCCAAGCGTGGCATGGATGATGCTATGCGTTGTAGCATCTCTGGTTCATCTGATGAATCAGATGAATCATCGCCGAAGCGTAGGCGCTCGAGGTCGCGAGACTCGGGCGCTAATAGTGTTGTCGGTTCTCCTATGGACGCCACTTCGCAACGAGGTGCCAGTCCTTCTGTCAGCACGTCGCAGGAAGAGCGGGACCGCAATGTCTTGCGTCTCGCTCCCGAGAAGAAGGCATGGATGCCTCCAAAATCTGTCATGGATCACTTGTCAGCGACGACGAGTGTTTGTTATTGAACACGGTTGTTCGATTCGTCAAGGATCCATCACCTTGACCCCAGCGCGAAGAACTGTCGCGCTGAGAATGAATTCTTCATCGATGCTTTTTTTAGACATCGATGGTACAGTGGCAAGCGTGATGGTCCCTCACTGCTTCAGGCGTGGAACGCCTACATCCATAACCTTGAGGATGTAGGTCGTGAAGCTTAGAACGACAAACTTATCAAAGCTCGTGATAAGTTTGAAAAGCGAACCCCGACAGGTGCACGCTACAAGCTGCATCGTCTGTCAAGGGAGAAAGGATAACCCTGCCTCTCATGGGGAGACTCGTGCCCATGTTGTGTGAACAACTCTGCACGAGCACCTAAGGAGGCTTACCTCCTTACCAGCCCGTGGTGGCGCGTACGTATCTCTACTGAGATGCACGAAGGGATTGACAACCTGAAATCCCTTTACGACCGTGCCGGGAAGACTTTCTCCGTCGGTCCTTCTGCGGCACAGGATGTGTCGCGTCGTACTGCTCGACCAGACCCAGTACGTCGATCATCAGTTGGGAGCGGGGCTCCCAAGTATCCCAGGACGGGGGATAGCCGCTCCACCGGACGAGATAACTCGTCCGACGTCCGTTCACGTCGCGGTGGTTCAACAGCTGCTCAACTAGATAGCACTGGCCACCGCGAGAGTCCTCTAATGGAGGTGGTGGAGGAGGAAAGACGCTCTCCACAAGATCATGGGGATCCGTGTGTTCCCGAGAGCTTCTTTGATCGCGTAACGCAAGGGTTACGCAACGATCTCGAACATTAGCGGAATAGGCGTCTCCAAATGGCGGACACTGTCTCGAAGCATCGAGCTGAGTTTGCCTTTGCCCAGATTGAGAACGAGAGTTCTCTGACGTCTCTGCGTGACGAGCTAAGGGTAGCTCGTGGAATTGTTGATCGGTCTCGGGATGAGATAGCTGCTCTTTAGACCCTTGTTGATGCCCACCATCGGGAGCACAAGGCTCTCTGCGAGATGCTTGAGCGCAAGGGCGTTCTTCATCGGAAGAAGCAGCGTACTGATGGTACGGCTTAAGCCGACCAACGTAAAACGTGTGATACGTTCGCATCTTACGTGGTAACTCGATCGTGTATGCATTGCCTAGGCGGTGCAATACACGAAATGGGCCAATGTACTTGGGTAGTAGTTTACTGCTACCCAAGTTAGTCACTTCATGCTTTGGTAGATTAACCGTAGACAGTAGGACAAAGTCACCTTTATTAAATAAAAAAGTGTTTGCCCTTCCATTCTTGTCAGCGTTTTGCTTATCCACCGCTTCGGCGATGGAATCTTGCACAAAACGGACTACCGTTTCACGAGCCAGTATGAACTCATCTGATGACTCGTTAGCTTCAGTGCGCTGTGAGCGCACTGCAGCAACATCAACCTTTTCTTCAGTGAAGGCTTCCGCACTCTCACTGGCATCATCTTCTTCGACATCGAAGTTATCGATATCGGCATCAAATGCAATGACCTCTTCGTCAGAGCGTGATGAGCGTGAACCAAATCGGTTTTTGCTCGCGCGAGTCCCTCCCCCCTTACACCGGAGTTACACTTTAGTAAGGTGGGTCCACGCGGATGGCGCAAGCCATTCACGTAAAACGGTGTATGTGTCGTGGACGCATGCACCGAGTTGTTAATGGCAAACTCTACCATTGGCAAAAACTCACTCCAACTCTTAAAGGAGTGTACGTATCCTCGAAGTATCTCTTCAAGGACACGATTGGCACGTTCCGTCTGACCATCTGACTCTGGATGATCAGATGTCGACATCTTCAAGCGCGTTCCGAGTGATTTGAACACGGAACGCCAGAAATCAGCAGTGAATCGTGGATCTCTGTCTGATACGAGTTCACGGGGCAACCCATGAAGTCGGAAGATGGTATCAATAAAGACACAAGCACATCCACTTGCCGTGATTGTCTCTGGTACAGCCACAAGGTGTACCATTTTGCTGAATCTGTCAACAAATACGAGAATACCCGTATTCCCGCGTGCGTCTTTGGGTAACCCGAAGACAAAATCCATTGAGATGGATTCCCAGCACTCAGCCGGAACCGGTAGAGGCTGTAAAGGTGCACGCAGTGAAGGACTTGACTTCACTCGTTGACAGACTTCGCATGCGCGAGCATACTCTCGCACAAACTGATACTGGCGGGTCCAGTAAAAGTCACGACTCACCGTAAGATATGTTTTCTCCCGGCCACGATGTCCTCCTATAGAAGCATCGTGATACTCGAACATGATCCGCAAACGCAGATCGGTATCATCTGGATTGACAACACTTGGTGTGTCACCAGAAACGGCTGTATAATACAGTAAACCGTTGCGAGTAGTGTATCGATCTAATGCAGATCGATACGCAGACGACAATCGTTTCAACGATTCTCGGGATGGTTGGGGTAGATGTGTCAACAACTTCACTATCTCACCTTCTTGGGCATACGCCCGCCCCACATCATCATTCAACGTTGAAGATGGCACTGAGGACGTCATAACCGCAACAGTGACTGTCTCACTGTTGGGTTTCACGACTGGTTCAAAGCCGGGACGACGTGAGAGTGCTTCAGCGACGACATTAATTCGTCCTGGTTTGTACTCGACCGTAAAGTTGTATTCTGCAAAGAATGACATCCACCGCGCCATTCGTTGTGGAAGGTGCGGGCTGTTCACTGCCGTGCGTAATGACGCATGGTCAGTGTAAACAATGAAGGGTCTATCTCCTAAGAGATAGACTCTGAACTTCGCGAGTGCATACTTCATGGCAAGGAGATCCTTGTCATGCACTGGATAGTTCCGCTCAGCTGGTTGCAGCTGACGCGACTGATAGCAGACGACGCGTTCAACGCCTTCAAGATCGTACTGCATTAACGCACAGCCGATTGCGAAATCGCTGGCATCACAGACCACATGAAATGGCCTGTCCTGATCGGCTATTGCTAGGACTGGGGATTGTATCAAGCTCTGCTTGATACCATCAAAGGAGCGCTGACATTCCGCGTTCCATAACCACCTCTCGTTCTTTTTCAACAAACGAGAGAGGTGCACAGTCATCTCGGCGTAATTGCGTGAATACTTATGCAAATACGCCGCTTGCCCAAGGAATTTTCGAAGACCTTTGACATCAACCGGCACAGGCCAGTCGGTGATCGCCTTGATCTTTTCGGGATCAGGACGTACACCGTTCTTACCAACGATGCACCCAAGAAGTGGTATTTCGCTTGCTGCAAATACACACTTCTTGAGGTTTGCATACAATTGATGCTTTCGCATGATTGTAAGAACCTGTCGGACGTGGTACCTGTGAACCTCAACGTCCGACTTTCCATCCATATCCCGACTATGAATGAAAACGTCATCGAAATAACTTGGCGCGAATTCTCGTACTGGTCTCAACAGATGTGATACACATCTGTTGAACTTGGCAGGGGCATTACTGAGCCCTTGTGGCATTACTAGCCATTCCCAGAGCATGCCGCTAGGCGTGCTAACTGCGGTACAGGGTATATCCCGTTCTCGCATATGGATTTGATAAAAGCCATCCATCAAATCCATGTACGAAAAGATGGTACTCTTTGACATACCATCAATGATTACGTCCTTCCTCGGTATCGGCGTCTGAGCCGGCACCGTTGCAGCATTCAACTTGTTAAATGCATGCAATATCCGCCACCCTTCTGTTGCTTTTCGCACACGGAAGGTCGGAAAGCTATGTGGGGATGTTGATTCCCTCACATGGCCCGCAGCTAAACGATTGGCAAAGAACTTGTCGATCGCAAGTACTTGTTCACGAGGCAGTGGCCACTGCTTCATGACACAGTACTTCGAGCCTGGTTTAAGCTCGACCTCGTGTCGAATACCTTTATCCTTCTGTAATTCGCACGGAACAGTTTCAGGGAATACATCCTTGAATTCAACCAAATCTTCATAGAGAGGATTTGTCTTGAGCGATTCCCACGATTGAGAGTCACATCGCTCAACTCGTATCTTTTCATCCAGGACACTCTCGTCCATAGATGAACTACTGAGAGCTCTATCGTTCTCAGTAAACACTGTTGCTGACCTTATGTCGGCTACACACTCGTCGTCAGCGACAAGTAGGCAGATCTGCTTGACTTTTCCACTACGCAGATCACGCAAGAACCTTTTATGTTCGAGCGTTGGCAACTGAGTGATCTCCGAAGCCAACTTCGGAGGCGCAATCAGATTAAGTGTATAAGCGCCTACGCTTGATCCGTTATTGACTAGGGCATTCAATGTCTCTGTCATTTCCTGGGGACTTATTCCCTCAGGCCTCGAAGGACTTATTCCTTCGGTTTCCCGGGGACTTATTCTCTCGGGTTTCGGGGAACTTATTTCCACCGTATTTGTAAAATATCGGGACTTATTCCCTTTACTTCCTCTAGCTGGGGTTGCGCAACCACAGCGAGATCCTCTACGAAAGACTCTCCAGTCGATCTAGGATTATCGTTTTGCTTAACCTGAGCGATCGATTGTTTCTCTTCTAGATGTTCCCCGCTAGGGATACATCTTTGTCCCGGTCCACTCGACTTATTCGAGTGGTGGACCTTCGGCGCAGCCTGTGTTTCCTCACAGCCGCCGGAACTTTGCTCCGAAGTGTAACCGTTTGTTACACTAAGTTTTTGTGCAGTCGTACTAACGACCGTACCACAAGTGAGGCCATCGCACTCACTCGTAGTACATCCACACGCTTGTGGACGCTCCAAAACGTTCATCAGATGGCCATCGGATGAACAAGCGGCAGGCATCTTTACTGTTCGATGTTGCCAGTTTACCCGTGGTTCGTACCTTCTGAGCCACGGTATTCCAAGGATGACATCAAATTTGTCATCCAAATCCAATACGACAAAGTCATCATCATATTGGGTATCTTCTAGCGTATAGTGGATCTTCACTATACGCTTCATGACGGTTACGGATGCGCCTGTCGCAAGACGTACCGTCATCCTCGTAGGAGGTGTGTCAAAATCACCAAACTTAAAATGACCATCTTCTAGCGATTGGCGTCGCACAAAATTGTTGGACGCTCCACAATCGACTAGAGCTCGAAGGGACAACTTATTTGTCACCTCGAGCTTCAAGGTAATGAGTGAGATCTCATTACCTAGAGCAGCAACGCACAACGTTTGTGTGTTGGGAGCAACCTTCATCAAGAGGCCTGCAAATTCTCTTGACGTTGCTGGACCAGTAGGGTGCTCCGCACCTACTGATCCTGTCCGTTTTTTACGGTCCATCCCGTTGTTGCGTCTTTGCACCAACAGCGGAGCCGCGTCCCTGCCCCTTTCTCATGGGTGGACGGTCACTACGCCCAGTGTTGCGAGACACTGGACGAGGGGCACTACACTCGTAAGCGTAGTGTCCTGGCTTCTGACATCTGTTGCATTTCTGCAACTTCTTGTAGTCTGTAGAGCGAGCCTTCTCGCTCTCTACATAACAGAGTTCCATCGGCTCTGAACCTCCGCTGTCATATCGTCTCGGTTGACGATATGATGTCGAGCTGGCGCGAGCCTGTCTCAGACTGAAGTCTTCCTGTTCCGCAATGGAAATGGCTTGTTCTAGTGAATCTAGTTCAAGCCGGAACAGGTGAGTCTTGACGGGACCATCCGCAAGACCCTGCCTGAACACCGAAACCAACGTGTGTTCATCCACCGGATTGGAACTTATACAGCTCGTGAGATGTCGTATATATCGCGCGTAAGCGTGCACATCACGCTTATCTTGTTTGAGCTTCAAGAGTTCATTTCGAGCTCTGAACTCAGCTCTAGGCGGTTCAAACGTTTGTCTGAGCCGCGACTTGAAGACTTCCAACGACCCAAACGCATATGGGTCGTGCAACTTGAGCCCCAGTGCCCAAGTCTTGGCACGTCCTGCCAGATTTGACTGGGCAAATGCAACTTGCATTTCCCCATCGTCGATGCGACGCGCCCTTATGGCTTCATCCAATTCGACGAACCATCTCAAGAGGGAGTCATCTTCGACTCCCCTATACTTGGAGACAATCTTCAACGTTTCGGGTCGACGCGAGTGCATCGACCCACCACCAGCAGCCTGCTGCTGTCTCAACAGTTCAAACTGTTGAGCACCCTGTTCTCCCACCAACGATGATAGTTGAGAACCTTGTTGGTGAAGCAAGGCTACTTTCTCGCGTTCAGCGTCAAGTTCATTTTGAATGAACTTGGCGATAGTAGCATGTTGGGCTTCTCTATTGAGAGCCTCTAGCATGACGCTAACAGCATGGATGCCTATGGTTGAACCCATCCGTTCAACCGCATCCCATTCGACATCGCTCAAATGGGAGTAGCCGTCACGCGTAGCGTGAAACCTTTAGTCATCTTCATCATCCAACATATTCATGTTGGATGTGAACGTGGTCCTTGGACGGACTACGAAGTGCTACCAGGTGTAACGGGGCACCCTGAAGCTTGTACTGGTGACAGTACAAGCTACTTATTCTGATGACAGAATAAGGCGGTGCCTCGTAACTTCACGTACACTAGTACGTGCAGAGGAAGACGGTAAGAAGAAGCGAGTACTTGGTTAGAGTAAAAAGTAGAACTGTATTTATAATAGTTAATGTCTGCAATAAATCACTATTTATCTTCATCTAACTATGTCTAAATACAAATGTGTAAATCAACTATCTGCTCACCACTCATTGCGTGCGTCTGTCGTGGCGCGTCTTCGTTGGTTGATGTAATGGCCTATATCAACCAATTAGGAACTACTCGTAAGTGCTACCGAATATTCGTCCTTATGACAATATTCTGAGAATACAACTCTTACATTTATATTCTATTAACAATTTCTTATAAATTGTTATGTAACGATTCACCCCGTTACAATGGTGATAATCTCGGTAAAGCCTGTTTGAATAGCATGATAGCCAGGCTAATATGAATCTAGACGTTCCATGTATCATCTACCTTTTCGTCGCGTCAATATTTGGCTGACTGCAAGCTATCTGGCGCATGTAATGTAGCGCTTTTCACAGCACCCAAATCACTGGTGTGACACCCACTGTTGAAAGGGTAGCAAGGCATTTTCCGCTGGATCTGAACGCCAACGAACATGAAGCAGTTGTCACCATCACACTGTACAGACGGAAGCGTCGTCGAGATGCAACGATGACTCGTATCTAGATCACATCCTAACGTGAAGAGTATTTACATGACGACATATGCTGAAGCTGCATCGATGATTCCGTGTTTGTCAACACCAGTCAAATGGCTGCATGACGACTTGAAACAGAGTATGTGTACACTCTAACGAGTTTACAACGCACCAAAGCACCTTGCTTCAGTGAATAGATAGATGTTGCAATCATGTGGTCTTCTGTTAAGATGTCCGAAGCCCTACTGTCTATTGCCCAGGTCCGTATGTGTTTGCTACGGGTTATGCAGCGGAGCTACACAGCTCCTTAAGTCAGAGGATGACTAAACGCTCAACGAGCAACTTAGTTTTAAGGAACTAGACTCAATGAGTCAACACGCGTAAAGCTTATGGTTCTTGTTCCAGGGGACCAAACGATCTAGTGATCCGACAGCACGTAGTGCTCAAGAGTAACTAGCTACCTCAAGGAGGTGTTGCGAACTCTTAGTAATCAGTGATCAACGACCAAGACGTCTTGCAAGACACGTGTGTTTAATATCAAAAGGGGAACTGAATTCTATTTACATTTACACCCATAGAATATCTTAATCCTAATATTACATAATCTAGACACTCATGTCCTTTGTTAGTACAACTAAGATTTCTCCTATCTGGCGGCGAACACCGGTCAACCCCTATAAACCGATAAGATATTCTAGATCTCTTTCAGTGGGATATCATCCGTGTGTCTAAGACACAGTGTACCAGGTACCCAACTACGTGCAACCCTTTTACGGGTTAGCTCATAAAAAATGGAAAATCCCGTGAGTAGGCATCGCACAACTGCGTTTCATATCCTTTACTGCGCACCCAGACCATGCTTCTTCGACAGCGAGAGGATGCGGTACGTGCTCCTCGCTGTTACAATACAACCTTGTCTTTTGATCCAGTTTCAACACAGATTCTTTTCACTTCCTTTCGTGCGCTTTTGTAAACTAGCACTGCGGTAAGGCCCCTCCAAGCGCCGCGTGGTTAGTTTTCCACGATCGACTACTATAAGTCATCCTTGGGCATGATCTTGTCAGCAGCTCCATAGTATAAACGTATTCTTAACTGATCACGTGTGTTTCTGCTGACCAGAGGGACAATCTATGCAGCTGACAGCATTCTAAAATCAAGCGACAATCATCCGACGCCACCGATACCAATAAAAAGATGAACAATGCGATCCGCGGGTCACAATTTAGATTCATAGCACGAGAAGAGACAGTGCCGAAAATGAGGCGTGCAGAGTGTTCCAACGACATATCGTTCAGCTTACCTATTATCAAAGCACCCAAGCATTTCGATCAGAAGCGAGCATATGACGCGACCATGGATGCGTAGTCGCCCTCGAGGCAAGTTGGGGGAAATAAATGGTCGGCTCGATTGCAAACATAGCGACCAGCGCTGGAAGCAACGGCTTGCTGGTGAGCTCGAAACCCTACCAAACGCCGCGATCTGAGACAACCCCATGACGTGTCGTCAAGGTAGACGATGACAGCAACTTATGGAATTTGTTAAGAACTATGTCGCGCGTGATGATTATCATGTTCAGAGTTCACGCGCTCGACTCGTCATGAGCTCACACTCATCCAAAATGCGACCACTTCTCTCACTTTCGCTGCTCACGATTGACGGTTATCCAGAAAAAGAATTCAGCAAGCCAAGTCACAGGGTCGAAATTTTTGCTTCAAATCCGGATCCACAGTGACGCAATTTAAATTAATCCGATTACCACCATCCACGACTTGACCAAGAAGTTAGCTTCATACTTATAAAGACAAACACTTTTGTACCAACCAGCCGTTGCCACCTGGCGCAGACTTTCAAGTAGATGCGTCTATCATTTACATTCATAGATTGCATTCTTGTGGCACCGAGACGTTGTATTAGGCCAATAACAAGTCTCACAAGGATGATGTTGTACCATCGTCTCTCAGTTATTTACCGGGATCCTCCACCATGAGCCACGCCGATATGTCGGTACCAGAAGCGGCTACTTAATGGGTCTCCCTAAGGAATTCTATGGCTGAAGGCATTCTCTCCCGCCAACGCGAGGCGAAGAAAAATCTATCAAATACGTATCGCAAAAAGATACGACGACTATCGACGTTATGATCGCCTGAAGGACATACTTGCCGCATTGGACTCAAGAGGGCGACCTGATACTCCTCTAATTGATCATTAGGTCAGAATTCAAGAGCTAGAGAGGATAATAGCGAACACTAATCGGAACTGGCTTCGATCCAAGCAGCGACGGCTGTTTCGACAACATACCTGGCGCAGAGGACAGACTAATAAGGAACTTTTCAGCGCATATCGTGCAAGTTCTGGGATAATGTCATCCCTGTTCTTACACCGGTAGCTGGCCAAACTTTGCGCGACGAGCACAACAAGGCAAACATTCTCGCGGACGCGTGGAGCCCAATTCCTAACGGGCTGGCGGCAGGCACCCCACCGGCATCCATTACAGACTGGATGGCTTGAGGCCCCTCAGACGACCTTGACTTTCTGGAGATGACTAACCTATTTACTACAACGACGATGAAAACGGCTATCAAGTCTCTTCGAACAGGAAAGGCGTTTGGGACCGATCGCCTCGGCAATGACTGGTACATCCAGTACTCCGACCACCTGAATCTGTTGCTTCTACAAATGTTTTCTCTGTGGTAAAACACCAAGATATTCCCTGACTATTTTCTGGAGACGGACGTATTCTGCCTAAACAAGATTGTAACCCGCTTAATTACCGCCCATTTTTACTGTTCAACTCGGATTACAAACTGATGACGCGGATCATTGCGATTCAGTTTCGAAGTACCTTTTACCGGCGGATCCACTCGCACCAAAATGGATTTTTGCCGACCAGAAGTATTCACTCGGTTATCGACTACTTCCACGCAGCCCAGAAGTCGCCTTCCACAAGGGAGAGTTCCGTAATTCGGCAGTCCTATTATTGGATTTTGCGAAAGCGTATGATACGTTGGACCGAGCATATCTTCTTGCGGCTCTCAGGCAACAAGGATTCCCTAGCCATTTTTTGTACATGTCATCCAGTCCCTTCATCAAGGAACTCCGGCTGCTTCATAGCCAACGGGTCTCGTTTGCGCAAAGCTCTGATTACTAGAAATATACGCCAAGGATGCCCACTGGCTCCCCTCCTCTTCATCCTGGCATTGGAGCCACTTTATCAAAAGCTGGCAGACCGGACGGGTTTCGAGGGCATGCTGCTACAGTCTGACAAGAACAAGAAAATGATAATAGTAGCAGGGTATGCGGATGATACGGCCACCTACGCCACGACGCTATCTGATATCCTGAAGGTTCTGGTTACAATCTCCCAGTTTGGCGAGGCCTCGGGTCTTCGGTTCAACATTATAAAAACTTTGGCTATTGCTTTTCACCCAGAAGAATTTTTCAGACACTTCGTGGCCCTGGCCAAAAAAGCTTCTAGGTGTCACGGTTTATACATTCTTTCTTGGCCTCCAGGCAGGCAGCAGAGGAGGAGCCGTCCATTCTTGGGCTCTTGCTGCGACTCAACTTCGGTCGAAGCTTTGATTAGCAGGCCAAGACACTTACCGTGGCAAAACGAACCACAGTGGCGAAGGCCATCATCATTCCCAAGCTACTTTACGTGGCACGCCATGCGTGGCCGTCCACCGCAACGGTAAATATTTTTTTTTACCAAGTTTAATAAAGCTTACGTTTGGCACGGATTTTTGTGTGACCTCGATAGTCGCTGTTTGACCTGGCTAAATGAGCGTGTTGCCTGCCTCCCCAGCAAGGGGGGCTAGCTATTCTCCAATTTTAAGCCGAATTAAATTGTATGGCAGTAATCACCGTGGAAACCTGGAACTCTACCGCGAGGGGTACGGATTTACTTAGAGGTGACATTCTGATGGCCTTGCAGAAACCTCCACACTCAAACTCCACCAGCTGTACGCTTGTATACACGGCCCGTCGTTTCTCGGGTTCTCGGGCTGGTCACACGGTGTGGATAGTTGGGAGACGCATGACGAACGAGCATGGTCTCCCACACCTGACACCCGATCACGTGACTGTTGTAGCAGAGATTGCGGCCCTTGTGGATGCGGCTCTTCCATTGTGTCTTCAGTTGGAACACAATACCTGCTCGCTCGACGTTTCGTCGCTCATTGGTGCCCACCTTGCACGCGTCTACAGTTTTTTTTGAGCTACTTACGAGCTGATGGTGGAGCAATGGTTGCCGTTTTTAGAGCTCCGTTATGTGTGGCTACTTGATGAGAGCGGAAAACCCTTGCAAGACTCGGACAACTGGATCTAAGAGCTTTCTTCAGGCCCTGTAGGCAACTTTATATCCTGGGCATCGGGTTCTGGATCGTCCATCGTTTTCACAATACGACAACTTAGGTCAAGTCCTCGTTTAAGAACCATTTTTGTTGCGTTGATTGCCTACTTCCTGAAATTCTTGTTGCCCGGAGGCCCAAGGCCTTAATCTCGATCGTGACAGTGTCTTCTGACAACACCTTTGACGTATGGTCGGTCCGGAGAGATGAGACGTCGGGGGTATCTGTTTTTTTGTTATCACGACGGACGGCACGAACACAGCTCACACCTCTTTTGCCTCTTCGTGGGACGAGGCACTGCTCATTCTTCGACGGTGGACCGGGGGGGACCTATCACGTCTGTAAAGTGGGTCCTCACCCGGCCTTACATAGAGCGGTGGAGGTTAGAATACCCTGAGGACACTTAACGCGTTCCAGAGCGCATTGTATGCAGGCCGTTTTAGCTCGGGCCAGGCGGATCAGGCTACAGCAGGTCAAACAACGGCAAGTGGCCTGGTCGGGCGATAGTATGCGGTTATGGGAGGCACTGAACACTTTTGGAATGTTGGAAATGGGTGCAAGGGTACGTAACGGTGATTGGAGTGTTCGGCCGGTGACTTGGGGTTTATTTGGAAACCTGATGTCACAAACTCGCTGTGCGTAAATGGTGGACGCAGAGTGACAAGCAGGATAGTGATCCGAGTAGAGCCAGAATGCGTGTGAGATGGATGACTGGAGCAGAGGGCTTTGGCGAGCATGGCAGAGAAGAGAGAACTAGTAAGGAAATACAACAGAATCTTATTGTTCACCTAACGCTTCCTTCTCGCAACACACATCTTGCCTACAGGTTATGAGCCCAATGGCCGCAACCACCGAACCGACTACGAAGACACCAGGGGAGGTCCTGCGAGCCACGCCTGGGCGCGGCTCGCTAGCGCGTGAGCCTACCGCACCCGCAGTCGTCAACGATGGACCCGCTCGCGAGAGCGGGAAGCGAGACGATAAGATCCTCGCCGCGCTCGCCGCACTCACCGATCGACTGGCGAGCCTCGAGTCGTCGCAGAGAGTGAGACACGAGGAGGAGCGCATTCTCGGGGCCGTGGAGAGCGGACTGCTCGCCTCGAAACTCGGCGCCAACATTCGCGGCTGACCGATGACGATAGACACATCGGAGACGCGGAGGAGAAGGCACCAGTGCCACGTGGGCACCAGCGCGCGACTGATCTTTGAGCGTCGCGATTCGCATCGCTCGAGCCACCTCGCGCGTGCGCAACACCGCAGCTGCAGCAGCGCGCACCAGCGGCTGCGTCACCTCCGCAGGATCATGCAGCGCTACCGCCGCCGCAACAATTCGCTCCGCCACAATCCTATGCGCGAACGGGCCTCAACGGCTACGGGATGCCGTCCGCTTGCCAGCGGAAGTTGAACATACGCAAGTTCGATGGTACGGAGCTGTACCGCGGACTCGAAAGCGGATTCCTTGACTGGGGGCGTACGTGTCTGCGCGCGGTGAGCCTCGCGCAAGCGTCGTGTGGTTTCGGATGGACAGAAGATGTCAAGGTCGACCTGCTTGGACACTTTCTCGCCGGCACGGCAGAGAGGGACTATCACAAGCAGGTCGATACCTGGTGGACACAATCACCCACACTGGATTACATCATGGAGCTGCTCCTGCGCACGTTCAAGACGTCAACCACTGCAAGCCAGGCGATGAAGTTATTATGGCCAAGAAGGACGCACGACGCACCTGGGCCGAGCACTTCCTGTACATGGTCGCCGTCAGCGAGGCACGCGGTGGTGCCGACTCGCTTATTCTTGATAACATCGTCCACCACGCTTCGCCGGAGCTGGCGAACGTGATGCGCTCCAAGTATGAGCCCACTCGACTCGACTACCTGCGCCATGCTAAGGAGCTGGCGCACTTCGCGCAGTCCATTGAGCACGGAAGCAGCGCGGTGGGTCGTGAGGTCGTCGCCGCGCACGTGGAAGGCAAACTTAAGGGGGCGATCACGTGCTACCGATGTGGGCGACCAGGCCACATCGCAGCCGACTGTCGCACGCGAGTCTTACACGAAGACGAGACACCCGCGGAGAGTGGAGGCGCCAGCATGATCCTTGCACTGACCGAAAAGCGCAGAGCGACCACGAAGAAGCGCAACAGGAGAAAGAAGGGCTCGCGCGGCAGGGACGCCGCAGCGACCAATGTAAGCGATGGGGCGCGAGCCATAGACGACTCATGCGGCTTCGTGCTTACGACGAGCGACGGAGTAAGAGCCACGGACGGCACGCGCGGCCTCGTACTTGCGGCGACCGAGGGGACTGTACCTCGATAGCGGCGCGAGCCGGCATCTTGTCAACGACGAGTCGCTGCTGCTCAAATCGACGGCTTGCAGCCACGAAATTGCAATGGCTGACGGCGAGTCGCTGCACCTGACGCGTGTCGGCAGCGTGCGCCTCGAGGTTCTTGCGCGCGGAGCTGAAGCGGTAGTGACGCTCACGGATGTGTAATTGGCGCCGCGACTGGCAAAGAATATTGTGTCGTACGGCAAGCTCGCCAACAAAGGATTTGCCCTAGTGCACTACGGCGAAAGGCGCTCGCTCGCTCGGTGCAGAGATGGTGCGGTCGAGTTCGATGTCACAATCGACAGCAACGTGCTGTATGTCGTGACGAAGGCCACGCGCGACAAGGAAGGTGCAGGCGGAGACGAGATCATGGCGGCGTTTGAAGCGCATGCAACGGAAACCAACGCCGATGAGCCGCACGAAGCCTCGCTGTTGCAATGGCACCGGAGACTCGGTCACCTTGCGTTCGACACGATCGAACGCATGGCGCGCGATCCGGCATCGGGCATTCGGCTCAGCAACAACAAGCGTATGGCGTGCGTGTCGTGCCTCGAGGGCCAGCAGACGCGCAACGCGCAGTCCCAACAAGACAGCGGCGAGCACTCGCCCATCGATCGCATCGGCGGCGTCATCTGTTCGGACCTGAAGGGTACAATGACGCCGCGGGACCGATTCGGCAATCGTTACCTTGTGAACTTCGTTGATCACAAGAGCAACTACTGCCGAGTCTTCCTCGCGCGCACGAAGGACGCTGCGACGAGGCAGTTCGAGGCGTTCCTCGTCCACTTCGAGAAGCTTTTCGGGTTCAAGGTTCACGTGCTCCGCACGGACGGCGGCAGATAATACGCCAACGTGGACCTGTTCTGCGAGCGCACGGGCGTCGCGCGGCAAGTATCGGAGGCGCGAAATCAGGCCTCAAATGACAAGGCGGAACGAGTGCACCGGACAGTGTTGAACCTTGCGCGCAGCATGATGTTTGCCTGCGCGCTCCCTCTGATGTTTTGGGGAGACGCGGTACTATACGCCGTTCACATCCTCAACCGGAGCCCTACGCGAGCAAACGCAAAGAGAGCGTCACCGCTCGCGGTGCTGACGGGCAAGACGCCGGATCTGCGTGGAATCGTCGTTTTTGGCTCCCAGTGCAGCGTGTATAGAGACCGCGCAAGAACTCGCTGCTGCAGCGCTCGGGGGGCGCCATCATTGTCGGCTTCAGCGAGGAAACCAAGGGCTACAAGGTGCTGCTGCCGCGTGACAATAAAGTGGTCGTCACGCAGCACATCAAGAATATCGAGACACTGACGGAGGCGCAAAACGCGCAACTCCAGCGCGCGATGGATGTCGGAGATCGAGCCGGAGGCCAGGAGGAGACGGACGCGCCCGCAGCAGCAGTGGCGAACGATGGTCGCGCAGAGGGCAACAGGGAGACGCGTTAAAGCAGAAAGAGATGGACGCGAAAGGCGCATGGAACACGCGGGGTGTTGAAGCGCGCAGAAGCGGCTGCTCGTCAGGAGGAGACAGCCGCGAGCGTGAGAAGTCGTAAATGCTGCTTTCGAGCATGATCCGCTTAACTACGGACAGGCGATGCGCAGCGGCAAGCGCGAAGGGTGGAAGAAGGCGATGCAAGAGGAGGTCGTTGCTCTCGAGGCCAACGACGTCTGGAATATCACAAGGTGAACGGCAGGACAGCATGCGCTGCACACAAAATGGGTCTACAAGACCAAGACAGATGCACAGGGCGACCTCGAGCTGCTGAAAGCGCGACTGGTGGTGTGTGGCAACGAACAGGTGCTTGGCGCTGACTACACGCTCACCTCCGCTGCCGTGATGGACCTATCGACGGTCAAAGTGATCTTGGCGCTTGCGGCTACGTGGGGGGTGCCTGCCAAGCACGGTGACATCCCCAACGCCTACGTTAAAGCGGACAAGGAGCCGCACCTGCGCATCTATCTACAGATGCCGCGCGGCATGCCAGTCTCGAAGGAGACGCTACGAGCGCAAGGCGTTTCGAACACGAGCAAGCTGGTGCTGGAGCTGCGGAAGAGCCTCTACGGGATCAAGCAGGCAGGCCGGCTGTGGAGCCAGCTGCTGCACTCGAAGCTCTCTACTGCCGGTTTCACGCGGTGTAAGAGCGACATATGTTTTAACTGGAAGCGCGACGGCGACGACCTCGTCGTGGTCGGCGTGTATGTCGACGATCTTCTAGCGACAGTGACGAGCGCGGCGGTGGTCGAGCGGTTCTTTGCAAGCCTCGCGTCGTTGTCGATCAAGGACCTGGGGCGGGTCAGCAAGTTCCTGGGAATGCGCGTGACGCACAACGGTCAGAATGGGTACACGCTCGATCAGGAGGAGGCCATAAGAGACCTCCTACGCGACAACGGACTCGCTGACGCCAACTCGACGTGGACGCCGATCGACGACAGCTGCTACGAGTTGGAGGAGGGCGACGCGGAGCTTCTTGGGACGCCAAGCGCGCAATTAGGACCGACTGTGCGCCAGTTTCAGTCGCTGGTCGGCTCGCTGCTCTGGGTGGCGCGTTGCACGCGCCCTGACATAGCGTTTGCGGTGCACAAGGTCACGAGACGAGCCCACGCGCCTCGACTAGCAGACTGGAAGTTGGCTAAACGCATCGCGCGATACCTCAAGGGTACGGCGGCGCTTAAGATCACGATGATCTCAGAAGACAATTTAGGTGCGGCGATGCGACTAGAAGCGTTCAGCGACGCCGACTTTGCCGCCAACAAGACAGACCGGAAGTCAATGACGGGCGGCATTGTGATGCTGAACGGGATGGCCGTCAGCTGGGGTGCGTGGAAGCAGGGAGGAGTCACCCTGTCGACGATGGAGGCGGAATTTGTCGCGGCAAGTGACGTCGCGCGCGAGATGTAGTGCGAAGTGGGCGTGGAGCCCGCGCTTCCGATGCAGTTGCGGGTGGGCAACCAAGCGGCGATCGCGCAGATCGCGGGAGATGCATTGTCGCTGAAGGCAAAACATGTGGATGTGCTCCTTAAGTTCCTTTGCGACTACTTGCGTCGCGGCATCATCACGGCGAGCTATGTCAGATCGAAGCAGATGCTCGCAGACCTCCTCACGAAGGCGTTGGACGCGACGAAGCACTCGACACTGCGCGCACTCGTGCGCATTGGTTAAGAAAAGGTCAAGGACGATCAAGGGCGATCAAGGAGCTCAGGGATGGAGGAGCACAAGGACAAGGACATTTGCAAGCTCAAGAAATGGAAGTGGTTTGAGGGCAAGTCACGACCGAGGAGGAGTGTTGGAATGTTGGAAATGGGTGCAAGGGTACGTAACGGTGATTGGAGTGTTCGGCAGGTGACTTGGGGCTTATTTGGAAACCTGATGTCACAAACTCGCTGTGCGTAAATGGTGGAAGCAGAGTGACAAGCAGGATAGTGATCCGAGTAGAGCCAGAATGCGTGTGAGATGGATGACTGGAGCAGAGGGCTTTGGCGAGCATGGCAGAGAAGAGAGAACTAGTAAGGAAATACAACAGAATCTTATTGTTCACCTAACGCTTCCTTCTCACAACACGCATCTTGCCTTCAAACACTATCTCGTGGGCGAGACTTCGACACGTTACTGGTGGCACTGTTTGGGTAGAAAGCTATGGCACCGTATTAAGCTGAGAGCCATTTCCATCCGGGACTTGCAAAGACAGGTGCCGGGGTGTCCCTTACTAAGGTGCTTACACACACACGTGACCTACTCGCACCAATGGTGGGACTGTGCAGCAGCGCAGACTCTATGGCAGGTCTTTGCAGAAGGCTTAGCGGACCCGGTTGAGGACTCACAGGCCATATTCAGCCTCAGTTTATCTCAGGTAACCCGGGGTATTTGAAACTACGTTAGGCGCTTATGTGGTTACTAACCATTGGATCGGAGGCAAGGAATACATAGCTGGTGTTTCGCTGTATAAGAGGACTGTAATGTTCTTGGTGTGACGCACACCCTGCAAGCCATATGGACTCGTCGCTGCATATGCAGGGATAGTGCCCTGGACAACTCTTCCTCCCGGACGAAGGCAATGCTTTTGGGCCGTTTACGGCACGGATACCTGACACTACGTGACCTTACCATGGAGACAACTTCTCATATCGATATCGGAGCGGCGGCTGATGTGGCCTACACAGCGTTCGAGGACACTGTGACAAATGACGTGCCACGAATGCCTCCGCTAGCCGAGGACAGCTCCGCTGTACTCTTCTTCAGTGGTAAGTATCGTGGCAATCCCAACCCGGGTGGTGCGGGCGCTATTATAATTACGAACTGCACATCTTCAGACTCGGCCGGAGTGCGTTGGATGTGCAGCGTATCCCTCGCAACCACCACAACAACAAACTATGCGGCAGAATGCAAGATCCTCTTTTTTGGGCTTCGCAAGGCGCTGGGGTGCCATCTCCAACGACTACACGTCGTTAAGGACAGCGAACTGGTTCTAGGACAACTACGGCGCAGGAGGTGGCCGCAGACAATTTAACAAGATGGCAGACGCCCTGGCGAACATCGCGATGGACTCAGGACACAGCATACAAGTTCTCGGTCCTGAAGTGACAACGCTGCCACCCAAATGAGCGGTCATTACGAGCTGTTTACGTGGCGACCTGAGGAACTGGCTTGACACACTATGGGATACGGTTAGACATGCCGATAGACAGCGGAACAACCCTCGGTTTGCAACCGTAAGTTGCTTTTGCTTACACTATTAGAAGTCAGCACAGCGGCAGGGATGTGTAGGCCCCTACCGGACGGGCATATTCAGGTCGTTAGCTCCTCTAAATGATTGTAATGCACCAAAAAAATATTGACCGGGATAATAGAGCTGCTTGTGGAGTGCAAATTTGGCGCCTTTTATTGGTCCACGTACTTTGCAGCGGATTACGAGACACCTACAATTCCGTTCAAGCCACTGCGTAACGTCAACTTGTACTGATGTCGTCGGAATAACGTCCGACAGAGGATTGCAATTTCCATTATGTGGACAGAATGCTTCCTCGGACAGTTTAGTACTTACCATTTCGCCTCCGTTAATGCACGAAACATGGAAGCATGTGACAGAACAAGACTCGGGTGGACACTACCGTTTTGCGGATAATATTCACATCTGCTTCATTGCAGCTGTGGCACCCGAACCCGACAACTGCAGTGAGGAACATAACTTGTACTAACCGTCGTGCACATACAAAACCTGCCGAACTCGATCTGGAATGAACACTCACCTACGGTCGTGGCTTCACAATCTCCGTCACCCTGCCTCGAGTTATTATAGACTCATGCGTAGCAGAAAGTCATCCTCTTCAGGGGTGCTCTAAATCAGAGATGCAGGAGGGCACTCACTTTCTTGCCTTCGGAAATCTGTCATGCTAGCACCTGATAGAATTCCACTGCTGTTTAGGTCACGTAGTGCCTGCAGTCAAAGCGGCAACGGCACCACCGGGTCGAAGGTCTGACCATTTCATCTCGCGTGCTGCATGCGAGGTCTTCCTCGGCACACTCACGCACTCTACACGAGTAACATTCAACCCAAAGCCGCAGAAGGAGACCAGAGATTGCCGGATCACATTATAGACCATTGGTCAGATCGACTCCATACCTGGAGACGCAGAAGTAACATACCATAACCTACCACCAAGAGATCCCCACTTTTTCAAAACGAAATGAAGGACGAGAGATACGGAGAAGAACTTCCAAACTTATCGTCGCTGTGTTAGTGCCAATTTTGCACCCACTTTCCTGCCAAGACCGGCACATTTACCGAGACCGACTCGTTCACTGAAACCGACGCATTTACCAAGACCGACGCATTTACCAAGACCGACTCGTTTACTGAGACCGTCACATGTACCAAGACCGACACATTTACTGAGACCGACTCTGGGACCGATTTATTTACTGACACCGATGTATTTACGCTTCTACGATTAGGAGGTCTTCTTATACGCTCGGCCACTCTGTCACGACATATTCGAGAGGTGACACGAAGACCTTCTGTTGGAGACGCTAGCACAAGGGACAGATCAGAAGTAAGATGGCAAGAATAAGGTAATTCTACTGGCACGGTCGACGATGTTTACCACGAAACAGGTGTCGTCTTGTCCAGATTTGTATGCTAAATTTTGTATGAATGATGCTGAAGTGGAATTCGCCAAGCGTTTCACTCGATACAACGCGGACATCCTTCCCAGCTTAAACACGACATGTCGGTATCGCAAGCTTCTAGTCTTATCGCTTGCAACCGCACACTGGTGAAACGACTCGAACACACCGACCACGTCCGAAGCTACCTCGCTTCTTTTCAATGATAGGATCGTCATGACTTCGTCAGTCTGCTTGCGTTTTCATGAAACGCGCTTGTGGTACGATTCTAGCAGCTAGATTCTCGAACATGGGAGGAGTGACTGTTCAAAGCAACGGTAATCCATCTTGTCTGCTATATCTGCATGAAGTCCCGACCATCTGACGTATGACTGTTGCAAAGAAACACGAACTCATCTATCCTTCTGGAGAAAGCTAGTTATCATTTGTACGTCCACCAGTTACCACCTGTGCAATACGCTCGTGTCGGCTGATCTCTGGCACTTTGACTGCAGTCTTGGTGAAGATGCACGGGTCTGCGAAAAGGAGACGTACTGTTTCGAGCTCATTTCCAAATCTTCTCGTTTGAGATACATTTGAACATCTCTTGTCTCCAAGAACCACAACTGCAGCAATGTTCACAAGCAGCAAATTTGCCGCTGTGTGCCTCACTGTCACGGCGCTCTTCAACGACGTAAACGCTGAGGCGGAGGTCGCTCAGACGTTTGGACTGCTTGGTTCTGGATACAGAGCTCCTAGTCATGCGGGACCATACGGAGCTCCTAGTAATGCAGGACCTTACGGAGCTTCTAGTGGTGGGGTCTATGGTGGAGTTGTCGCCAGTGTAAGACCGACCGGGCGTAGTGCTGGTCATGATGGACTTGGAGTTGAGAACCTCGGACGGGGTACAGGCGTTGGTAACGCATACGGCGGCACAAGTTCTGGTGGGGCATTCGGTCTTGGCGGACCTGCCGGCGGCCGCGTGACCAACAACGTGTACGGTGGAGTCGGCGGAGCAGTCCGACCTGGTGTCGGAGCCACAAACGGTTCTGGAAGGCCTGTGAGTGGCGCCCCCAGTGGAACCGTTGGTGCCGGTGCCATTGTAAACACCGGTCCTTACGGTGGTGTTGGTGAAATCACCCGTCCAGAGGCAGGAAAGCCAGCGAACGGAGGTACGAGCGGAAATGTTGCTGGTGCCACTGATGACAAGAAGAACACCATTGTGTATGGCGGGGTCAGTGGCGCCACTGATACAGGCGCAGTTGTCACGGAGGGTGCTGAAAAGCCCGTGAGTGACGGCAAGGACGTACCTGCTGTGGTAGCTGGTGACAAGAACGCGGTTCCTGTTGTTGCAGCTGGTGGAGCTGCCGTTCCAGAGGCAGGAAATCCAGCGAACGGAGGTGCGAGCGGAAACGTTGCTGGTGCCACTGATGACAAGAAGAACACCAACGTGTATGGCGGGGTCAATGGAGCCACTGATACAAGCGCAGCTGTCACGAAGGGTGCTGAAAAGCCCGTGAGTGACGGCAAGGACGTACCTGCTGTGGTTGCTGGTGACAAGAACGCGGTTCCTGTTGTTGCAGCTGGTGGAGCTGCCGTTCCAGAGGCAGGAAAGCCAGCGAACGGAGGTGCGAGCGGAAACGTTGCTGGTGCCACTGATGACAAGAAGAACACCAACGTGTATGGCGGGGTCAATGGAGCCACTGATACAAGCGCAGCTGTCACGAAGGGTGCTGAAAAGCCCGTGAGTGACGGCAAGGACGTACCTGCTGTGGTAGCTGGTGACAAGAACGCGGTTCCTGTTGTTGCAGCTGGTGGAGCTGCCGTTCCAGAGGCAGGAAAGCCAGCGAACGGAGGTACGAGCGGAAACGTTGCTGGTGCCACTGATGACAAGAAGAACACCAACGTGCATGGCGGGGTCAATGGAGCCACTGATACAGGTGCAGTTGTTACGATAGGCGCCGGAATGTCCACCACGGACGGGAAAGATCGCGGTATCGTGGCTGGCGCTGATGGGAAGCCATGCACTGATGGAGCCGGGGGCGCAATCGGGTCTGCAGTCAAACCTTCTCCGATGGTGAATGGGAACACAATCTCAGCCAAGCCGCTCAAGAGTGGTGCGAAAGTGGTTTTAAAACCCACGACCGCCAGCCCGTACAATGGTCGCGTCGGAGGCGTGACGCAACGGGCGTACCGCAAGCTTCGATCGTTGTAAACGGGATGAAGTTAATATTCGGTTGCTTGCATAGCGACGATATTCACTCAGCTCCATCCCTGTTGACAGCTCCTTTTGCCACACTCTTCATGTGAGAAATAAATCATCGCAATTATCACGCCGTTGTAGTCGCGCACATGCGAGCTCTTTCTTTATTCAGTTACACTTGGAGGACAAACATCCGACCGAAGACCGACATTGAATGCAGAAAACGTTTTGCTCTCCCGTCATAGCTAGATCCAAATATCTCTTAGCGACGACCACTGCCTGGTCTCATCAACGTGGTTCATCACTTCGTGACGCAATGCAGTTAAAGTGGCTTCGTTGATCAAAATTTTGTATCAATGCCGCCCACGTCCCGGTAGCTGCTTGCTGCAAACGTGCGCTGACTCGCGACGATTACAACAGTTCGGGCTGACTCTCGATGGCTCCTCAGGTTTTTGTGCAAACGTATATAGACGTATGTTGACGATGGTCTTTTCACCTACAAGAAACAAGAAACAACAAGTGCAAACTCCGCTCGTGGTCTCAGAGCCGCGTGCGAGACCTACAGGCTTGCACCCCTTAGCACCCGAGTGTCGTAGATTAGACCTTTTCGTAAGGGAGCGGAGTAGAGCTTCCGTCGTATCAGCTCTCGATTGATGCATACAAGATTCGCTTACCAGATTGTAACAATGTCGTCGACCAAATCGGTCAGGCCAGGTACGAACGGTTGTGATAACCAGGTATGCTGGTAGGATGTATACATTAAGAGATCAGTTTCACTGATAGGCGTATTTTTGAATCACATACGCGAAGTGGTAATAGCGTACCTTATCGATTGCGGATAGATGGTCTCTATTGGAATTGGGTCTTCAAAGGACGGCATAATTCTGGTGGGATACAAAAGAAGCACTACGATGAGGACTATTCGATCAGGTGGCATCGTTTAAAGGTTAAATACGTAAGTGAGGTTTACTGTTGCTCTAATTTAGTAAATACATCAGTTCCCCTTTTGATCTATTTTTGATACGTGTCTTTTTAAGACGTCTTTGATCACAAGAGTTAAAACCCTGGGTTAAGGCTAAGTACTCTTAAGCATTAGTGCTACGTGATTTCTTGTAGTCATTAGTCCCCTGAACCAAGACTAGAAGCTTACGAGCTTGTTCAGATACTAAGAGTAAAGTCTCACCAAGTCTGTAAAGACTTGAGACCCTTAAGTTAATACCCGGTTAGCTTAAAACACCAAGAGACTCTACGAGTCTATAAGTCTTCCTCTGACAAAGGAGCAAAGGTTGCTACGCCACACAAACACTATACATTCTCAACAACTAGTTTGTTGCTACTCTCGGTTGTGGTGTACGAGCTGTGTCTACTCCACGGTGCACCACATTCAGCTGTTAGTGCTAGTGCGGTTGGTGCGGGTATCGTCTCAGCGAGCATGACCTTAAACGGTGGGGCGTTATGCCTGTGCGTAAAACATAAAACGTTGCGACGTTCTGCCTTCGTGTAGAGTATGAAATGACACCGGATATCTTGATATGTGAACAGGCACGATGCCATCGAACGCGCGGCTTACTGTGTAACCGGATCTGCAACTTTTGAACCGATCGTACCACAAAATGACCGACTTTGTCCACTTGATCGGACTTATAACTTACTTGTGAAAACGGACGAAGCTTTTGAAGTGGTCTGCTACCGCATCAAAGTCTTCGTTAACAATCGTCCAGGTGTCTTATGACAAGTGTTAATCGAATAGTACTACACAGAAGACAGCACGCGAGCTTTACGCTTGTCTTCGACGCGAACTTCACCAAGGTTGAGTAAAGCGTTATGTAAGGCTACAACAATAGTGAAAAGATGTATATTTGTGGCGTTGTGGGATCGGTCTCCCTAGATATCGATGAAAGTCGAGCAAGCAACAGTTGGCATTTTCATGTTGATCCATTCACAGTGGAAACAAGATATCCAGTATAGATTAGGGCGACAAGTCCATAGTTGCCGAGGCGGCTTGGCAGCTCCAGGTCGTGGTCATCGACTTGCTCTTGAACAGCGCCACTGGATCCATCCTCCACCGTGGACATATGTCCGACACAAAGGAAGTGCTGCTTACAATTGAACAACACCCACCCGTTTCAGTCATGAAGGGGTCACAGACGCCCAATATAAAGTTCGCGTAACAGGGTGACGTTTTGTTTGTTACCTGCAGCTCTCTTCGTTGCTCGGCTCCTGGAGAAGGAGTCCAACGGTGCGATCCTATATTAGCTGCCAGGGTGTGTGCGAAGTTCAACGTTTTTGCTGAAGGCTGCCTGCCACTATTGAATGCAATGATCATGCTTCGGAACCATTCTTCTCCGCATGGAAATGTTGCCGACGATGTATTTAAGAGGGAGTGATGCATCCGTATACATCACTCCAGTACTGCTTCTATGATGTAACAGCACCGCTTTTAGAATGGTTTTTTTTTTTTTTTTTTTTTTTTTACCACGCGTGACAAAATAGGATTACAAAGCCAACCTGACTCGGCCCGCCACATCCGCATGGAGCTGATTTCCCGATCCATTACCGCCTGGACGAAAAAGTCAGGAGGAGTCTGTACGCCTGACTTGACATTTAGACACCGGTTGGAGTATCGTGCTGAGCAAGCGAAGTGGATCTCAGCCGTTCAATATCGACAAAAAGTGGATATTGACTCGCTGAAAAATACTCGCTGATGCCGTTGTAACTTGCCCACTTAGAATAGGACGTACATGTGTACAACACTGCTTCCCCGGTGTATGTCTCCGCTCAAAGTAATGGGATCAACCCTAAACTTCCATTGGGCCTGCCTTCGGTCTGCGCGCTTTGCGCACATCAGGAGCTACGTCCAGGCCCGCCACCCTCATCCGTCATTTGACGCGCGGAAGGTCATTGCGCTTACAGAACGTCAGCGCTACACCTGCAGGAGCTATGTGGTGTTCCCTGCCATGCATACACCGAAGCGTAAGAGCTTGTGCGGACTATTGTCAGGTAGCACTCAAGAATCCGATATTGGTACGGCTAACTAGCGCGCTTTCATTCGCTAAACGGCAGAGCAAGCTCATCTGCTACAAACGGATAACTCGATCGTTATTTCTGTCTGGTTGAGCTGTTCCCTTTCTGCGGGCACAACAGGCGTTCCTATAGACATGTGCGGCATCTAGTCGTCACCATGACCACGTTTAAACACGCTGGTGATAATCTCGGTAAAGCCTGTTTGAATAGCATGATAGCCAGGCTAATATGAATCTAGACGTTCCATGTATCATCTACCTTTTCGTCGCGTCAATATTTGGCTGACTGCAAGCTATCTGGCGCATGTAATGTAGCGCTTTTCACAGCACCCAAATCACTGGAGTGACACCCACTGCTGAAAGGGTAGCAAGGCATTTTCCGCTGGATCTGAACGCCAACGAACATGAAGCAGTTGTCACCATCACACTGTACAGACGGCAGCGTCGTCGAGATGCAACGATGACTCGTATCTAGATCACATCCTAACGTGAAGAGTATTTACATGACGACATAGGCTGAAGCTGCATCGATGATTCCGTGTTTGTCAACACTAGTCAAATGGCTGTATGACGACTTGAAACACAGTATGTGTTTTCAAACACACACTGTAAGGTGCTTTGGCGCATTGTAACTCGTTAGAGTTACAACTCGCCAAAGCACCTTGCTTCAGTGAATAGATAGATGTTGCAATCACGTGGTCTTAAGATGAAGATGTCCGAAGTCCTGCTGTTTTTTTTTTTTAATCTTTTAATTACACATTACAGTCATCAGGTGATCTAACAATTCGCCAATCTCAAGCCACTGTGGGCCTATATTTCCCCCAGTAACTAGCTAGCAACGTAGTTGTTAGCAAGTGCTGGTTCAAGACCCTACCTAGGTAAGTAATTTACAGTTTCTTGTTTAGGTGTGCCGAAGGCGAATGCATAGAACTCAGTGAATGATTTTCCCATTTAAAGACTCTAGAACTACTCGCCAAGCCGGAGAAAGCCGCTCAAATTTTCAGCCAGCACTTGGGTACTTGTCTTGGTGTCCATAGAGATTTTTGCCACAGCATCTACCATTTTGTTAAACTGACGGGGATGATGTGTCCAATGCACAATGGTAAGCTGATCCGCGATAGTGCGACATTGATCTTAGACATCGTGCAATCTTAATGCCTGGAGTGGCCGTCGTCGCAACATGTGTTAAAGGACGAGTTAACTGTCCCCAAATCCATGATTCCGCGTATATTATAGGAGATCACCTTACGTTACCCAGCAAACAGCCCGATGTATTCCGCGTAAATGTTCGTAGTGGACCTGGCAGTGTACGACACACTGCCCATTCAGTGTATACTGAAAAAAATGGCATTCGCGCCCACACAGACAATAAACGAGCTAGATTCAATTGGTCCCGGATTATCTCAAGCCCCGCCAGCGAAAAACAGCACGGATTAAAAACTGTCACAGCAAACTAAGCTGCTCGATGGAGACCCATCCCCTCTCGGCCGTGTAAGTGCCGAGAAGGCTCGATCTGCGGCTAGTATTGAGGCATCAGAGGCAACGTGGGCGTGGGTTTGATGTGTAATGATTGATGCCTCCTGGTGAATTTGTCCTTCTGGCAACAGGGACGCGTAAAAACGGGTGTCAGCCAAATGAGAAGGGCTCCAACGGCATCTACTGCTCCATATCGACTGAAAGCCCTGGAATTTGCCAAGTCTCCAGTGCTGGAGGAGAACGTCATTTACCCGGCTTTCAGTAAGGTCCTTCGTGTATGGAGAAAGCATTTAAACACGTGCAGCGCATGCGTGCATGATGGTCTAGACACCGGGTGGTACTAAAGACTAACGAATCTCGAGAACGTGGCCGGCTGGAGCACTCGCTCTGTCGATCCCTAACGTCGTCCATTACTCGAGAAAGGTTTTCCGAAGGGGTATGGCTTCTCGACATGATCATAAGACGGGAAGGTGCTATGGTGGGTCGCATCGCAGTTGCCAAAAGAGCATTTTG